CAATTCTCCTTTTTTTTCAGGCATATCCTGGGATTCGAACCCGCACTATCGCCCTACATGCATTCCCCCATACACTTCGCATTCATGCCCATTCTTCCAAGTTGCTTTGCGTTATTATCTTGCATTTGAAAGCCCTATTTGAATATTGCGGGCAGATTGAGTATTGCGGGCATATATATATATGTGTCAGGCAAGGTGGATGAGTGGTGTCGCGAAGTGGATGTTCTGGCTGAGTTCGCCCGCACCCAACCACAAGCGGCATTTGCTGCCTTCGGCCAGGGAGTTCGCCATCAGTGGTCCTTTGTCGCCCGGACAGTGCCAAATACGGCCGACCTGCTCGCACCCTTGGAGGAAAGAATCCGTACCAAATTCATCCCTGCCATCATCAACCGCGTCCCGCCAGGAGACATCGAGCGTGCCATGCTGGCCCTACCGTGCAGGGACGGAGGGCTGGGGATCGTCAACCCATCCTCCCTTGCCTCCCAGTTCCAGGACTCTATGCATATTACCAAGTCTCTCGTGCAGAAGATCCTCCAGCAAGATCAGTCAGCAGAAGGCGTCCCAGCTGCCACCATCACAGCGAAGGCAGAGATTGTTTCCCAGTCCCGGCGCCTGGCGAAGGAAGCGGTTGCCTCGGTCATTGCCACCTCCACCTGCACCACAGAGCGCACCCTGAATCTTGCTGCTGAAAAGGGCGCCTCCAGCTGGTTGACCTGTCGGCCCCTTCGTCAGTATGGTTTCAACCTACACAAGCAGGCGTTCTGGGACGCTCTCTGCCTACGGTATGGTTGGACCCCTCCAGGCCTGCCAACAGAATGTGTGTGCGGCAAAGCGTTTTCACCGGAACACGCGCTGTCTTGCCCAACTGGTGGCTACCCCGCCATGCGGCATAATGACCTTCGGGATCTCACCGCATCTCTCCTGCGTGAAGTGGCCCATGATGTCCAGGTCGAGCCACATCTCCAGCCGCTAACCGGTGAGACCTTCCGTCACCGCTCCGCCATCTCCGAGGACGGTGCCCGCCTGGATGTTGCCGCATCGGGTGTCTGGGGTGGACGTTTCGAACGGGCACTACTGGACATCCGGGTATTCAACCCGCACGCCCGCTCCAACCGCCAACAGTCCATCACAGCCACCTACCGGAAGCATGAGGCCGAGAAAAGGCGGGCGTACGAAGAACGCGTCCGGGAAGTTGAACACGCGTCTTTTTCTCCCATTGTGTTCAGCGCTTCCGGCGGCTACGGCAAGTCCGCCTCCGCTTTTTTCAAGCGTGTCGCCTCTATGCTCGCCGACAAGAGAAAGGAGCCCTTCTCCTCACTTCTTGCCTTTATTAGGTCAAGGGTTTCCTTTTCTCTTGTTCGTGCCTCCAATGCCAGCCTCCGTGGTCACCGCAGGCCACGGTCTCAAGATGCCCGCCAGAGAGTCATTGACTCTGATGCTTCTGTGGTCCTTGCTGCTGCAGAGTGCTTTCGGTAACTATCCGTGGTGTGTTTGGCTACTGTTCTGCTTCAGTACCCCCCCCCCCCACTTTTTCATGATATTGCATGTTATCGTTTTCTCGGATTCCGGTTTTGCTCTCTGTTATGTTCGAATCCATAGTCTGTTTAGTTTGTACACGATTTGTACGCAACTTCTCATTGTTTTTTTTTGTTTTTGTTTTTTTTACCAGGCGTGGGCCATCCCCTGATCATAGGTGCCAAAAAAAAAAACTTTCATGCATATCTCAAAAAAAAAAAAAAAAAAAAATATTGCGGGCAGCTGTATGTGGCCAGCTGTGTTTGATGGTACGGTACGGTACGGGAGACGGTGTCGTATTACCCTCGATCGTACCTGTCCCGTACCTATCCCCTACCGTACCGTGCCATCAAAGACGGCTGGCCACAATGCATATTCAAATAGGGCTTTCAAATGCAAGATCACAATGTGAAACAACTTGGAAGAATTAGTATGTATGCGAAGTGTGTCGGGGGATGCATGCAGGGCGCGCGATAGTGCGGGTTCGAATCCCAGGTTATGTCTTAATCGGTACGTCATTGGACAACCAGTCCAGGATCATTGGCGAGTCACCGATCCTTGCCCATCCCATTGTGTCTTCTATCATGACTGCCCATTACGCTGAGTACCGCAGTCTCTACCTCTTCCTCAGTGGAATCGATTGTAACTCCCAACGCGAGCGGGCTGTTGTTTCCTATCGTGGGAGCAGAGTAAGCTTTCGTATTTGCATGGAGAACTTCGCCTGATATGTACTCACGCACTACAAGAGCAGGAGCGAGTAATGTAACTTCACACACAACATCACCTACTTGCTGTAGTCTTTATCTCTATTAAACTGGTAGCAAGAAACACACATCTTCGTCAAGCACACATCTAGAACGTAAATTTCACCACATCAAGCCCGGTGTCGTGTATACAACTTAGTTCTCTCACCCGTGCCTTCGTCCACAAACCACAGCAGCAAAAGCAATGCTGACCACCAGAGCAAACCCTGCCATTGCTATATCTATTGTAACAAAAGTGAAACACGCATAAAGTCAAGCAGCATAATAAGTATAATGGCAGTTGTACACAGCATGACAGTGAAACCAGCCTAGTTTCTATGTTCAGTAGAGTAGATCAGGCAACATGGCAATGTTATTCATTAGATCCCAGTGTTGGATATTCCGTATTTCTGCACATACTAAGCCATGGAATTATACTGTAGGGGTGAGTAGCCTAAAGATTCCAAATTTTGGAGAAAATGCCATTTGTTTTAAGCCCGTGGTAGGAAAAGTGAGACAGAGACATAAGCATCCAAAAATAGCTACATAGCACGAACAAAGGGTGCAGAAACAGTCCTGTTCCAGGTACACTTTCATTTTCTCCCAGACGGTCTTTTACACTTTTAAAAGTGCCATGGATTTAAGTCTTTATAAGTCAGGCTGGCATTATATTCGGATAGCAATATCCGATGAGGCCGTTTGTACCATCCATTACTTCTCAAATCAGTACATGGTGAGAAAGTGACGAAGCACGACGATATCAATAATTACTTATACAGCAAATTGGCCGAAAAATTGTGATGAAACGTAAACAGGCTAAATGATGGTGTGAGTTGCGCCAAAGAGTACAAGAACTATAACAGGGAGGTGGGAAGTCAAAATAGCACTAGCTTCCAAACGAATTCCTTCTGTCTACAAAGCTCCGGCTGTAGCTTGGCAATGTAAACAGCCTCTAGCACATCTAGGTGGCATTAGGGAGGTTTAGTCCCACGTAATCCGTGGGTACTTTACGTGTGTGTACCATGTGATACTCAGTGCACGGGTGTTTCGCAGCGGCCACTCGTCAAGATGGCGGCAAATCCGAGAGTACAAAAATTTCGACTTTGCCTATGTGCGCGGCGGATGCGAATCTCGCACCGACACACGTGCATGCAAAATCTAGCCTTCTGCAGATCTGGGTAGAGCAAGTGAACGTGTGTGGGAACGACGACCTTTTCCGAGAGAGAATGTGGCTCTTTTCATCCCAACATTTTACTCGCCACGCTCTCCCTCCAAGCTTATTGATACGAGTATCTGCTACCGAGTAGAAGTCTCCATCTTCACAGTAGGCCAGGCATAATCGCAACGTTGAAATACTTTGCTCGCTTGGTTTTTTTGGTCCTTTGAGATGATGCGGCTGTTGTGTACAACTCGAAGTGACAAACTTGAGACCCCCGCGCCACAAAAAACTAAGGCGCGCCACAAAGTTTCGTTTGGCTGTTCGATGAAAGGATGTATGGAAGCAGGGATAAAAACTATCGTGGCTGCCGGCAAAACTCCTAGTAATGTAATAAACGGGGGGGTGACCAAGAAGAATGTACGCACGGCCATTCCACAACGAGACGAAACTACGAGCTCAAAAACACTCCGATTTTCAAACAAACGACGCAGGAAAGAAGACATGGCCGCAGTGTTCCCGTGTGGTCTTCAAAACACCTAATTTTACTTCGATAGCGGCTGGTTCAGGGCAAATTCAGGCCCTATTCGACAGCGTCGTACCGCTCAGATTCGCCCAAAACACGAGGAAATGTACGGTAGATCCAAATGCGTACGCATTTTGCGTACGGGGACGACTGGCCAGAGTTCATGCACTGCAAACACCCGTGAGTGACCCACGTACAGACGTTTTCTGATTCACGAAATACCGTGTATGGAGGCTCACCCACGTTCTGCCAGAACGTGGGTGAAAATCAGAATGGAGCGCATTGTGCGAGCTGTGAGGGTGCTCAGCTGAAGAAGTTTCCGAAGCACGAAATCAAAACATTGGATGAGCTACTTAGGCCCGGGTAGCTTCCTCTTTGACCAGGTTTGGGCATTTCGCTTCATGCTTTTGTTTGTTCCGTGTGACTAAACACAACATTGCAACGTGAGTGCCCTTCATCCACTTTACGTGGATCACCCACGTACGCGTTTCCGTTACGTGGGAACTAAACCTCCCTAATTGCTGCACGCCCGCGCGTGAATCTTGAAGCGCTCTGGAATATTCTTACTACTACTAGTAGTAGACTCTACATACTGCATTCAGGCAAGCAGGGAACATGATAAGATGTGTAGTTATTGCACTATCAGCTGATGGGTAGTGTGAGTCATGCTGATTTGGTTCACACTTACTCGGGATAGTGTTAGTCAGCGCTACCTGGTAGCGCTACCCAGCGCTACCTGATCCGCTGGGCTCCAGCGTCCGCCCCAGTACTCGGCTCCTACAACACTCAACAGCGTCAAGTTAGTTAGTTGCACAGACATCGACCAGGAGCGCGGTGGATCAGGTAGCGCTGACTAAAGCTGTGTTCACAACTGGCGCGTGGACGCGGTACGCCTGCGGTGCATACGTGCCCAAACGTGCGCTCAGGCTTTTACAAAAAACAGCAATCCGAGTGGTATTTAGCGCGTAGGACACCTTCGAGTAGATCTACTAATGTTTTGACCCCGCCAGTCAAAGTGACTAGCTTGTACGCTGGTACGCGCCTGATACGCGCTGAAAATTCCAACATGTTGGAATTTCCATTTCGGCGCGTTTCCGTACGCATGGCGCCCCAAAAGCCAGCAAAATACACACAAACACGTGGTTTTACGCGTACACGCGCCATTTGTGAACACAGCTTAACACTATCCCGAGTAAGTGTGGACCGAACCAGCGTGATTCACACAACCCATCAGCTGAGAAAAATGATAGTGCAATAACTACACATCGTATCATGTTCCCTGTTTGCCTGAATGCAGTATATACTACTAGTAAGAATATTCCAGAGCGCTTCAAGATTCACGCGCGGGCGTGCAGCAAATGCCACCTAGATGTGCTAGAGGCTGTTTACATTGCCAAGCTACAGCCGGAGCTTTGTAGACAGAAGGAATTCGTTTTTAAGCTAGTGCTATTTTAACTTCCCACCTCCCTGTTATAGTTCTTGTACTCTTTGGCGCAACTCACACCATCATTTAGCCTGTGTACGTTTCATCACAATTTTTCAGCCAATATGCTGTACATCGTAGTGCTTCGTCACATTATCACCATGAACTGATTTGAGAAGTAATGGTACGAAAAGGCTCATCAGATTTCAACTGGCTTCGTCTCTTCGTGTGCTAATATGTTTCCCTCTGACTCAGTCGAATGAAGCCGAAGACACCACTGCAGCTGTACTTATAGTTGATAAATATGGTGGTAAAGACACACCTGGCAATATGTTGGTAAACACACGCCTGCCCACACACGCTCTCTAAGCTGCAAAGTTCTAGCACAGAGCTCTCCTTCTGACTCAGTCTCATAATTACTATAATAATAATAATAATAATAATAATAATAATAATAAATGGTTTGCTCCCCACACCGGAGCTCGCGCTATTCCGCCGACTTTACTTGACACTTGACTGACTCACGACTGCCATCCAGAGCACACGAGAAGTCCATCGAACCTTCGACTCGGCAAACCTGCAAGAAAGCACCACTCCCTGCTCAATACACAGTGTTTCGGGGAATTCACCCCTCATCAGTTGAGCTTGAGTAGGCTGAGGAAGATTGTGCCTGAAGAGCACCACTTATATAGTGCTCTCCAGGCACAAACATCACCAGGGATACAAACTTACAGAGACGCTCCGCTTCAAGCGCGACAAACACCCCGTGAACACCAGATAGCAGCGTGAGTCAGTGTCGCTCCTGGACGGTGAGACAGACGTCGAGGACCCTTGGTCATTCGCAACGCTGTCACCTCCAAACCAACTAGTCGCAAGCCCGCGCTGGGCACAACAGTACGAAGTAGTGGTTGCGACTTCGGCGATGATTTGTAAGAAAGGGTTTGCTCCCCACACCGGAGCTCGCGCTATTCCGCCGACTTTACTTGACACTTGACTGACTCACGACTGCCATCCAGAGCACACGAGAAGTCCATCGAACCTTCGACTAGTTGGTTTGGAGGTGACAGCGTTGCGAATGACCGAGGGTCCTCGACGTCTGTCTCACCGTCCAGGAGCGACACTGACTCACGCTGCTATCTGGTGTTCACGGGGTGTTTGTCGCGCTTGAAACGGAGCGTCTCTGTAAGTTTGTATCCCTGGTGATGTTTGTGCCTGGAGAGCACTATATAAGTGGTGCTCTTCAGGCACAATCTTCCTCAGCCTACTCAAGCTCAACTGATGAGGGGTGAATTCCCCGAAACACTGTGTATTGAGCAGGGAGTGGTGCTTTCTTGCAGGTTTGCCGAGTCGAAGGTTCGATGGACTTCTCGTGTGCTCTGGATGGCAGTCGTGAGTCAGTCAAGTGTCAAGTAAAGTCGGCGGAATAGCGCGAGCTCCGGTGTGGGGAGCAAACCCTTTCTTACAAATCATCGCTGAAGTCGCAACCACTACTTCGTACTGTTGTGCCCAGCGCGGGCTTGTGACTAGTTGGTTTGGAGGTGACAGCGTGGCGAATGACCGAGGGTCCTCAACGTCTGGTCTCACCGTCCAGGAGCGACACTGACTCACGCTGCTATCTGGTGTTCACGAGGTGTTTATCGCGCTGGAAATGGAGCGTCTCTGTAAGTTTGTATCCCTGGTGATGTTTGTGCCTGGAGAGCACTATATAAGTGGTGCTCTTCAGGCACAATCTTCCTCAGCCTACTCAAGCTCAACTGATGAGGGGTGAATTCCCCGAAACACGGTGTATTGAGCAGGGAGTGGTGCTTTCTTGCAGGTTTGCCGAGTCGAAGGTTCGATGGACTTCTCGTGTGCTCTGGATGGCAGTCGTGAGTCAGTCAAGTGTCAAGTAAAGTCGGCGGAATAGCGCGAGCTCCGGTGTGGGGAGCAAACCCTTTCTTACAAATAATAATAATAATAATTAATGCAATTAGGAGTATAATCGATGCAGACATGGCCAGACAACAACGAGTTCATGGAATTTTTAAGGATTTTTATGTTATTCAAAATCGATTTTCGTGTTCCGCTCATCAGTGAATAGTATCGGAACTGAGGGTACTGTGTACAACAATAGAACATTTTATAACAGCATAATTAA